GAAAACGAGAAGACGGGGCCGTGCCGGTCGCGTCCCCGACGCTTGGCATGGGGAGGGGAAAGGGGTATGCTGATCGCAAGAAAAATGCTTTGATCGGAGTATATGGTCACGTACCCGAAAAGTTTGAATTTAAAAAGGGAGCGATAGGTGCAGATGGAAACGTAGGCCAGCGGAACGGCGATCGCGAGTTGAATCGCGAACGGCGAGGACGTGCCAAATGCTTGCTGGAAAGCCCCGTAAGGCGACAGGGCATAGGGCGACCCGAGGAAGACCTGACTCCAGAGGAAGCAGACGGTCAGAAACCAGCCCAGAATGGCCAGCAGCCGGAGCGTGCAGTGCGAAAGCGTCGTGAGCCAGTACCAGGCGAGGACGGTGCCCAAGTGGGAGGCCCACGCACCGAGGGCGGCGCAGCACCCTTCCCCGTCACCCGCCTTCACGTCGGACGGGTACGGGAGCGCGCCCTGACAGACCGCCTCGATGACCTCCACCTTGCTGATCACAGCGTCCCGCTGCTTCTTCAGCACCTGGACGCGGAGCTGAGCCTTTTTCAAGCGGGCGTGCAGGCCGGCCAAATGGGCCAAGGAGGGCGGGGGACCGCTCGTCGGGTGGCTGTTGACCCCAAAGGGGGTTCGGGGGAGGAGCATTCCCAGGGTCATATCCTCGGGGCGATGGCGGAAGGAGGCACGCGTGTCTTGGAGGATCTTCATGCAGGCGTCGAGTTCCAGGGCGAGCTCCTCGCCGGCCGGAGGGCTCTGACGAAGTTGCTCCCGCAGGGCCGAGACTTCAGCCTCCACGTCCGAAAGGACGCAAACGGCGTCATGCAGGTCGCTGTCAACGAGGGACGACCGGAAGTAGAGGCGTTTGAGCTCCTGGTCTGGGAAGGAGGATTTCCAGAGCTTCCGAGGCACCTCGACCAGGCCGTTGCCCAACAAGACGACGACGAAGAGGAGTCCGTACGTGTTCCCCAGGGCCATCAAAAGGCCCTCCGCTCCAGCCAGGG